TGCGCATGCGCGGCTGACTTTTATATCGGCGGCGTTTTGGATAAGTGATCGTGAGGTTATTGTGATATATGATTTTCAATTAGAATGCAAATATAATGACTTGTTTTAGGGCTATGGGTGGTGGTGTGCTAGGCGCTTGCGCTTCGGAACTTTGAAGTTTTAAATGACTTGCGTATACCCTTTTAAACGCGTGTTTGGTGCTAGGGCAAATAGGTGTTTTCATGGGGGCATTCAAGTTTTACACTTAATGTTAGTTTCTATCACTTTAAAGCTGCATATACTAGGTGTGCCAGTTACTGTCGAAATTCGACCGTTTTTCTAGTTTTTTCAAACCCTTGGAGAGAGATTTTCTAACTTAATACGTCCTTTAACTTACATAAACGGAACAAAATCACTTACCGGAAAATCTCCTGGTTTGGAACTAAAACGTGACTACAATTTTTTATATCTTTGAAGGTCTTTGGCAGTACTTCGAATTCGGTCCATACATTCCACTTTGCCGATAAATTTCGATAGTTTGATACATATCGATAATTCAATGAATTTCAAAAACATTAAAATCCGATAACACAAAAAAATTCGATATCTCGACTAATTTCGATAAATTTCGATAACTCTTCATTTCGAGGGATCGATAAATTTTTTGATATAAATTGATTGCTTGATAAACTATGGATGCGTATAAAAATTGCGACAAGCAGTAATAACTCGTACACTTTTAAAACCTTGAAAATTCGATAACTCGATATATTTTGAAAATTGAAAAAGAATTTTATTTGATAAATCGACAAATTTCAGTAAATCAATAAATATCGATAACTCGACAGGCTAAAATAACTCGATGCATTACGATAGCTCGATAAATTTCGATAACTCTATAAACAAAATAAATTTCATTAACTAGACAAATTTCGGAAGTCCTATAAATTTTTATACCTCGATAACTATCCCTAAATTTCGACAACAAATTTTATTTTTCGACAACTCAATAAAAATTGATCAATTTGAATAAGTCGATACGTTGCGATAACTCAATAAACATGGATAGCTCGATAAATTTCTATATCGATAAATTTCGGTAACTTGATAACTTTCTGTAAATAAATTTTTTATGCCTGAACTTACATATTTCGATTCCTATCGAAAAATTTAAATAAACTCTCTTACCCTGTCAGCTACTCCAATTCTTATGTATTTCTCATTGTTTTCATTTTTGTCTTTATCTCTTTTGACTTAATCGTTATTATTTAGCGTATTAAGCCTTCGATCAAGTCGCATCAAGTGGCATAGAACTTCATAACCAGATTTAGGAGGTTGCCTATTTCATTAATGCTGACCTCACCGCTGTTAACGGAACCTTGCTTGTAACTAACACGGCGTTTACATGAGGCGATTTTACAGGCAATTTTAGAAGCGATTAGTTTAATCCATAGTTGGCTGCCACCCAACTTCATTCGAAGCGATTATTTGAAAGGCCGTTCACACCAGGCGATTGTTACTTTCAACTAAAAGTTGTCTGTAAAATCGCCTCATGTAAACACCGTTTAAACAAACATTCAACATTTCAGATACGACAAGAGGGAGAGAAAGTTTTTACGTAAAACAGAGCTCTTTATCGCTATCACATCCCTGTTTGGGATATGATCGTTTTACGCGTATTTTGTTAAGAGTTGTGTGACTAACAGGGCTATTCTCACAACTGTCTTTTAACTCACCACAGTCTAACGTAAGACAATTTTCCATTCTGACTATTTTGAAAGCTCTTTTCTGTCTTTAGAAACCCTAATTTAAAGATTTGCTGACCTGGAGGCCTTAGCATTTTTATGCCTTTCTTTTAACACTAATTTTTATAAAATTATATATATATGTATATATAAAATTTACATTTTTTTAAACAAGAAAAATAAAAATTAAAAAGAAAAATTTTTTCATTAAAAAAGAAAAACATACATTGTGGTTGTCCACACTTGCCTAGTTATCAGGTTATCTGAATAAAATATTTTGTTCTATAGTGTGAACTGAATAAAAAATCTAACCACATAACCAGGTATCCTAATAACCAGATAATGGAAGTAGTTTTTTTGGCCGCGGTCCAGAGGCCCAAAATGAAAAGGAAGGAGGAAAGCCATTTACTTGATCATTTATTCTTCTTTAAAAAATTCTCACTTATTTGAAATATGGAAAGGAGAGCAAGAGAAACTGAGTGTAGAAAAGGATGTACACAACAATTTTGTTAAAAGCTTTGAGGCCAACAATGCGTCTGAGTCATATTTAAATTACTTTAACAGTCATCGCAAGGTAAATATGTTTTAAAAAGAATATTCGAATTAGCTTAATGCAACAACGACATTTAAGAGCTTTCAAAAGCGGAGCGAGCTTAGAGTCGTGGGGTAGTCACTCTGTCTTCAGTTTTAAAATACGACTTCGGGAAAACCAGCCAAAGTCTATTCGCAACAACCTCCGATTACATTACGCTTGTTTAATTCCTCGGGGAAATCCCTTTGGACTAATCGAACTCTGCAATCAATTCGATTTTGTCGACCTATAAAACTTCAATTCGTTAAAGAAACAGGCGAAATTATTTTGAAATAGAATGCTGATTTACAGGGAAATTCTGGCTAAGATAGTCCTAAGTCTTGTTTAAGACAATTGATAGACAGTATGTAAGATAGTTTGATAGATTTTGTTTATTCTGGCATGAAAGTTTTACGAAAAAAGCTCAGTAGCCAACTTTCGGGTTGAAAAGCTCTTTTTACTGAAAGCACTTGAGCATGTTCCAAATGAGGATCTATGTATACCATTTTGCCAACAGTCACAATGGCCAAATGAACTATTTTTCGTTATTTTTTAATAAACAATTTTTCTTTTTTAAAATAATTTTATTGTTTTTATTATTTTTTAATTTTTTCTTTTAATTTAAAACAAATTTAAGGCAAAACTGATTGTGGGTAAAGTTCTAAACGTATTCACAGAGAATACGTAACCGAAATTTGTATTATTTTTTTAATTTAATTTTTCGATTCTGTGCTACAAATAACATTTTTTTTCTTTTTAAATTTCATTTAATATTTAAAAAATTGAATTTGTTTCTTCATTTGATATTTTTTTTTACTTTTTCTGTTTTTTTTAAGAATCATGTTTTTTAATATAATTATTTTTTAGAAACTTATTTTATTATATTGTATTTATTTTTTTCTTTTACAAATTAATTTTCTTTGAATTTTTTAGCTTTTATAAAGCAGATATTTCAATTAGACTTTTCTCTTTCGAAAGACTGTGGTGAAGGAAGATAGTTGCCAGAATTGCTTTGTTAAATAATAAAATTAGAAGCTTGGAAAACTTTATTAAAAAAAATTTAAGGCAAAACTGATTAATGGTAAAGTACTAAACGCGTTCACTCAGAATACATAAATCCAATATCAGCTGTCTTATTCATGATGCCACACCAAAAATTTCAAAATATATAAAAAAAATTATAATAATATAAAAAAGTAAAAAAGTGAAATATTCCAGCATAAATAAGTAAAGAAATTTAAGATATGACGATTTTCACGTTTTTTTGCAAATTACTCGAAAATTTTTAATTTTTTTTTGGATTCAGCGCGTCAAATTACATAAGGATAAGTGGGTCTCTCCTCTCATATCCTCTTTAAGTTGTGTAAGAAAAACGATAAGTGTCCTTTGAAATTTGTATCCTGTAATATACATAAGTACCTGAAAAAAAACCTAAGTACGCTCCGAATTCCAGCTTTTCAATAAATACCCCCTTTGTGTTCTGGGACACCCTAGTGTTCCCTCTTTTTTATTAGAGCGAACTCAGTTTAGTTTTAAATAATATTTTATTGTTTTATAAGATGAAATTTGACAGAAACTTAAATATGTTTCTAATCTTTAATTTCTAAAATTTAGATGCTTAAAATTTATGGAAAATATTAAAGCAATTAAACCAATAGATGCTTAAAATTTATAAAAAATATTTAAAGCAATTAAACCAATAATGTATTAAAGTGTAATATACAAAAGCGTGGAAGCTCGCTAATCTTAAACTATTTTAAAAAATCAGCCATAACTACAATGGAAGTAGATTTTGAAAGAAATGAAAAACTTTATACGAAATATAAATACCAAACTGGAAGCATTAATTCACTTATTAACTAAGGCTTAACTATATATATACATAGATCAAAGGTCACTTAAATTTAAGACACTTGGAAGTACTCGATAAGTAATACGGAGATCGGTTTACGAACAGACCAATCGCTAACTGAGTGTAGTTGGCGGCTATCACAGGCAAATCACATTAATACAACAAACAAATTATAAAGTTATCAACTATTTCTAACGACAATTTGTACTTACAAGAATAAAGCTGACACGATTTTATATAGTATGTAGAATTACTAAAGATCCACTAAACACTTAAAGCTACTAAAGCCACTGGCAGTTTAAAACAAAAAAAAAAACACACAAAGCTTTTAAAAATTGTCAACCTGCTGTTTGCGCGCACCCACTTACCACGGACGCCACAAGCATTCACCGCCGTTTTCTGCGTCCGCTTCTTTCATGCGCTGCATATTTCCACACATTTGTTGTTGCAGCTGCTGATGTTGCTGCTGCTGCTGTTGTTGTTGTTGTTGTTGTTGTTGTTGTTGTTGGTAAGCGCGTCTCATATACTCAGCATCCAGATATGCTGCCGTCGGTGATATCGCATCAGCACGTTTGACTACCTCTAAATTAAGCGCCTCCTCACCACTAGCGGGCGACTGCGTTGCGCGCGCCGCCTGTGGCGGTGGTAGCGCCAATGGTACCTGTTGCAAATCCTTTAGCTGATAACCCAAATGTTTCATAAGTTTCGTGCCAAATTTCACATCCAGACCAGGCACTGTGGCAAACACACGCGACACTTCATACGCTGCTTGCGTGTAGCCGGCGCGAAATTTCTCCACATTTACGCCACGTCCAGCTGGACCCCCGCTCAGCGCTGATTGATGCTGAGCAACGCTGGCGGCAATTTCGTGCTTGTGCGTGCGCAAGTAATTCACTGTCAACTCCAATATATCGGCCTTCTCCAGCTTGGCAATGTGTTCGCCTTGCGCCTCCATGGTGTCCACAATGAGATCTTTCAGCTCGTCCAGGTAGAGATTCATGCGTGCGCGTCGCTTACGTTCGAGCAACGGCTTTGTTACCTTGCGATAGTGTTGCGTTTTGGTCATGAAGCGTTGTCCGTCCACAGCCATGTTGCTGTAGTGTATTTGTTGCTGGTGATGTTGAAGGTAAGCGCGCGTTCGCGAAACTTAAAAGCGAGGTAGCACGAAAGTGCGCAATATTTGCCCGACTTTGATTTGAGAAAACAAGTTTTTGAGTTGTTTTTTTATTTTTGTTTGGTGTTTCGTTTTGGCACCGACAGACAGACAGACAGACGGTCGGTCGGTAGAAGTGTAGCAAGTGTGTCAAGTGTTTACCGCACGGTAGCTGTTTGAGAAATGATGCGAACGCAAGGTAGTGCGATCCTTTTGTAGCCTTGCCTTCGGCTCAAAACACTGCTGTCTGCCTATAGTGGAGGAATGCAGCCGCTCGTGCACCTCAAAGTGTGTGTGCGCGTTGTGCCTTGCATGTGCGCTGCTTGGTGGCTACCGCCACCCCTAAAACGACACCAGCTTCGCAATTTTGATTCTCCGTCCGCAACCTGTTGTCGTGCTGTGTTGGGCTGCATGGCATAGTGTTGCTCCCTCGTGATTCAAATTCTTTCGCTTGCTTCGTTGGCGATGATTCTGATTCGATTTATAAAGATCGCTCATTTTCGTTGCCGTTCGGTTAAGTTAATAGTACGAGCGCCAGACGTGCGTCGTCTGCGCCTTCAAGTGTAGCGCGTTCCAGCAAGCAGCCCTGGCTCTTGTTTTGGTGGTGGATCGTTCGCTTCCTGCTCTGTGGCTCTCGTGCGTCACCTATGAATACAAGTGTGTATGTACGTGGCGCTGCACTCCGACAGCACAGGGCGAACCCTTCACGTGTACGCCGAGCGATATTGTTTGAAGAAAGTACACTGCGAAATATTTTTGAGTAGCAGAAAGCCAGGTCATCTAATAGGAATTGTTTTTATGGTTATTCCGTCAGTCCTCTTTTCCATTTGTCCCATGCAGTCGAAATAGCAAAAATGCCGGGATCTTACTTGGTTGGGTCTAAAGCTCTTCTGGTGTCAAATGGGTAAGGCATGCAAACAGGTGGGCAGTGTGGTGTAAGTCCTTTCCACATGTCTGCGATTTCCACATCGGAGTCGTGTCACTGTTGATCTCATCTCTTAGGACGGTCCAATTTCGTCCCCGCATAAGCGAAGAGCCTGACCTCCTAGCACCATGTTGCTGCTCTTGTTGTGATTTCCTCCCGATTCATCGGATTTTAGTTTGGCGCTTGACGCCATGCTGAACAACACGCCACGAACTGCTATCAGACCAAGGGAAAGCAGTTTATTAACAGGCTCGAAGACTAGACTTAAGGGGATTTCGATTTCAGCACTAACAATGCAAATTACTGCGCCTCCTAAATGGCGCCTAGTGGCTTCTGAAAGAAACAAACAATGAACTCTACCACGGATGGATTGAAACTTTAGGACCGACAGGTTTCCATTAAATCTAAGTTCAGGCTTCCGCCCTGTTGAAGTGTTACTTTAAGACAGATGGGCCAGATATCAGCTAAGCGGGCGTAGATCGGCGCTGCTTATGCTTGCGATTTGTATTCCAGCAGTAGAACTGGAAATCCTACCTAATCGCTTCAGTCGCAGTTGCCTGTAGAATGACGAGGTAGATTCACCTCAGCACTTTCTATTCAACTAGCCAGCCTTCGCGAAGTTGAGGTTTAAATATTTATTTAACTAAGCCTGAGGGCTCGCGGTGTTTCGTCGTTTTAGTAATGATTACCGTTTAAAAATTTACATGTTGTAATAGAGGACAATTTTCTTAATGTCCAACTGCGTATCTTATCTGGGATAACCGACAAAAAGCTAGCCTAACATGACCGAAACTTCGTCTATAACTCACACTAATAAAAAATAAAATGGGCTCGCGATCTTTAAAACATATCCGGTAACCAGGCTGTCAATGTGTTATCCAAAAAGTGTTCCATAGTGGTTTGGAACCTGTTTTATATTCCAGCAACCTATAGACGGTTTAAGACTCCACAAACCGTAAACAAGAGAATTAACCGCCGCCATTTGATGTCACTGATTCACAGACGGCGTACAATATCAGGAGTGTGTACTCCTCGACGACTCGAAAATCAACTCACAAAAAGCATCGGAGATTTTAACTTTATTGGATGTCATTTTACTGAAACTTAATTCAGAAGATTGGTTATTTGCCACAGGGATATTCCCTTCAGGAGCGCTAGCGCCCTCCTCAGTGTCACTGGAAGTTTAGGAAACTAACAATCCTCAGAATTTATTCTCAGTGTAAAGATCTAAAGAGAGCACAGCTCACCCCAAAATAGCTACAAGCTCAATACTTGCGCGAGGTCATATCGACCTCTGCCTGTCAAGCGCCGAATACGCCGCTCTTTGCTCCCTGCGCGCTGCGTACGACACTCAAGCAGTCAGACTGCCAGCCAGTCATCCAGCCAGCTAGCCAACCGTTTCCGACTACCGATCCATTGAATGGTCACACGCTCGAGTTCGCGATCTCGTGTTTGTCTGCATGGCTGCGTGTGCAATGCTTGCGTGCGTACGCGCGTCGGAAGGGATACCACCATAATCAGCACTCACTCACTCACAATGCACCACTTTACGAGACGGACGTCTTGCAGACAAAGTGAGGCAAATCGGCGGCGTCAACGATGCTGCTCAGCAATTTTGGGCGCTGAGCTGTGTGTGTGCGTGTGTGCGGATTACTATGCCACTGCACGGACACTATGGATGGTGGTTGCTAGAGCTGGTACTGGTGGTGGTGGTGCTTTTGCTTTTGGTGTTGTTATTTGATGGCGTTTTGGTCGTTATGTTTCATTTCCTGTCAGCAGTGGCAGAAGAAATTGCAATACATGCAACAACAAAACCAGCAACAATGAGAATGAGAATAATAAATGACACCATAGGCAACAGTGATGCCAGACATTCTCTGTTAAATATCCCACGGAAATGGGGAAAAAATCCCTCAATTACCCACATCTTGAAAATTTATCCCACAAAATTCCCAACGAATTTAAACATATACATGTTTCAATAGTAAAGAAGTAAAATTCATATAAAATAATAATAATAGTTTGGCGCTTACACATACGTGCTTTTCCTCCAATTTGTGGCGGTCCCCTTGATGTCACACAAAGGGGAGGGACCTACAGTTTTACGCCGACTCCGAAGGGCGAGTGTATTTTTATGAGAAGCTGTTTTTAATGGCAGGAATACACTCGGAGGTTTGCCATTGCCTGTCGAGGGCCGACCGCTGTTAAGAAAAAACCGCTTTTTCTGCATTTTTTCACTCTTTCATTTTTTTGCTCACTCACTAAGGGCCTAAAAGAATTTTTTGGTGACTTTAAAATTGAAGCACATTCATGTGCTATTTAACATTTCATCAGATAATTTGTTCCGCTTTTTACATGAAACACCAGTTACAACTGAAAAGATTCTTTCTTACTCAGCGCTTGAATTGGTTAACGTAAGAAAATTTTCGAAATTGTCCTTATACTTTTTAACAATTATATACCATTTCACTCCACATAACATCTTCAGAACGATTAATTACGTAAGAATGTCGAATATTCTTGAATTTTGATCAATTATGCAACAATAACTGCGTCAAAAGAAAATCCCTTATTTATATGAAGTGTCCCTTTTTTCCCTTTTAATAATTTTTGATGCAAAATATCCCTCAAATAGGGAAATTACCCACAATCTGGCATCACTGATAGGCAACGGCAAGTAAACACGGAGTGTCGCATCGCATTGTAATGATGATGATGATAATTTTTGATGAACACGACCATCATAGTGATCTTCTTTGGCTAAAGAATTGTAACAACAATATACCCAGTTGTGGGTATGCGGACACATACACGCTTATGAACAAACAAACAAACATACATACAGTGGGCGTCAAAAATAAGTATACTCTGAAGTTTTGACGATTTTTTTTTATTTTTACTTTCCATACCAAATTTTTCAAAATTAGTACATGGTAATATTTGTTGAATATTTGCAAGGTGTTTAAAGTGGAAATTTTTTTGTTATTTTTTATAAAAAAAAATGGTTTAGATATATTTCAACTTTATAAAGAGCCTTAAAAAATTCAACAAATTTCCATTAACATTTTGAATTTCTTAATCTGAATTTTTTGACTTTTAATTTTTAGTATAATAAAGTGCAAGTTTTTAGCGGCTGAAATTTTTAATATTTTTTTTTTTGTTTTTTGTTGACGGCTTTTGCGTTTTTTTTTCATGTAACAAGTGCAATTTATAAAAACTGGCGTTGATTTTTTTTAACTTTCTTTGCATACGGTGTTGCGCATTTTCTTCCATAAGAAATTCATGCTTAAATGTAAAAAAGTGCAAGAAGCCGACAGCCAAAAAAAAATTATAATAATTAAAAATCAAAGCTGTTTTTTAGCAGCATAAAACTTACACTGCATTACACTAAAAATTAACAGGCTATACAATTAGGTACCCAAAAATATTCTAAAGGTTCGGATTCAGCTCAAAATTTGCATACACATTTTTTTAATTTTTCTAAGCTCTGTATAAAGTTCGACTTATATGGCTTTTGTTAAAGCATAAAGCATATTTTTTATAAAAAATAACAACAAAATTTATTTTTAAAAGCCTTCCAAATATTTTATAAAAATTAAAAAAAATAATAATTTTTGCTCACCACTGTATGTAGTTTATTCAACCGCAAAAACCATAAGAAACCATTTTTTTTTTTTAATTTCATACAGAACTCTGGAAAATTCAAAGAATTTCAATCGAAATTTTGAACTTTTCAATTAGATTTCTTAGAAAATTTTTTAGTAAGCAGTTTTTAGCCTATAAAATTTTAGTATCATAAAAGGCAAGTTTCGATATCTAAAAATTTCCGTTGAATTTTTAGATTTTTTTTTGCCGAGGGTGTTGCGCATTTTCTTCCATACATCTAATATAAGAAAAAAATTTTTTATACATACATATATGAAAGAGCATAAAAATTCTCAAAAGTTAACAGTAATTTTTAGCTACGTTATTACACTAAAATTTAATGGGCATACTCAAACTTTTTCTAAGAAATCGAATTGAGGAATTGAAAATTTCGCAGAAAATTTCTTACATTTTCCCGCAAGTTCTATATTAAATTAAAAAATTATTCTTTTAATTTTTACTTTTACATGAACTAAATTTTTATAAAAAAAAAATAAGAAAAATTTAGTATGGAACATATAAATAAATAAAATGGTCAAAACGTCAGGGTGTGCACATTTTCTTGACGCTGACTGTATGTATGAACATCTGTGCTTGAGCCCGATCGATACGCATGTATGGGGAAGTATGTATGTATGTATATTTGTACGCTTTGTTCACTGCTGTCACTCGGTTAGGGGAGATCTCCTAAATATGCTTGTATGTATGTATGCGCGTATGTGTACTGCCAGGATCGTGAGAAACTTTTCTCCCTGCTTTCCCACCGTTCGCACTGCAGGCATTTGGACGCAT